AAAAAGTGGGAGTTACCCTTTTAGGTTTCAGAAATTTGAAATTTGAATGGCGCCGTTGGAAAGAGACGTTGGAACTGGGTGGTCTTTCTCCAACGGCTCGTAATTAGTTGGAGTTGAGAAACCAGCTTGCCGAATTCAACGCGATACGTCGTCGTTTAGCCTTATCAGTCGACGCCACGTCATTTTGGATCGTTATTTAAAAAAAAGTAACTTTTATTCTTTTATAAGACTTATTTATTGAATTTTTTTTCACGATCAAATTTATAAAAATTAAGTTAAAAATATATATATATATATTAAATATATTATATTTTATTAATAAACTTTTATTTTATATAAAAATTCTAATATACATCCATTAATCAGAAGGAAAAAGAACATTATAAAATGAGCCTACAATATTGGCAAAACTTGAACAACTCAAATGGAATTCTTGCTACCATTAATTGAATTGAATGTATCTGGAAAAAGAAAATTAGCTTAGCTATCATGCTACTAAGTTCGGCACTCGAGAGTTTCAAAGTCGAGAACCAAAATCACGAGCCTGAAGTCCCGAACGAACCAAACCAATAGCTAACAAGACTGAGAGAGATACGTCATCTCGAAACGCCATGAATGAAGACTTGCAACTTAGCTTCAGAGCAGCTAAAACTTCTTTGTTTTTTGACATAAACTAAGGATTATGTAAGAACACGAACCACCGAAGCGGAGAGTTGGTCCTGCTGCTGGATCGTCTTTGTTCAGTATCGAAACCTGGTGTAGCCGAGGTCTGACCAGCAAACGGTAAGGACTGAGCTGTTATAGATTTTCGGTTTCCATGGTGTAGCCAGTCTCGATCTCGTTCTATCTGGTAAGGTCTACGTCCACGATCTCGCAGCGTGCTGAGCCTTTGCAGTTTCTCTTAATACAGTGCCAACAATAGCAGCCTGCTCAATGCATTCAGCCTTATGTAGTGAATCTAGCAGAACAACACAAGTTTTCGTGTAAACACTACAACCTTTCGATCGAGTTTCCTCGAAAAGTCGATAAGCATCCAACGCCCTGTTTGCATTGCTCAACCCGACGATTATAGCATTGTAAGTAGCAGAATCAGGCACGCCACCCTTTGCCTTAAACTTCTCGAAAAGAGCATTCGCCTCTACGACGTTTCCAGCCTTAGCAAGCCCCGAGATCATGGTGGTGTAGGTGAATACGTTCGGCTTTAAGCCTTGCTTCTGCATCTCTTGCCAGAACACAAATGCCTTGTTGAACTTTCTAATCTTGCAAAGACCATGAATTAGAATGCTGTAAGTTATATAATTAGGCGTACATTTCAAGTCTTTCATAGACTGAAAGCAAACAAGAGCTTCACTGATTTCCTCTGCTTTCACCAATGCATCAAGCAAGCAATTCCATGTGTATACATTAGGCGTCAAACCTTTCTGCATCAACTCTTCCATGATCAGGTACGCTTCATCGATTCGACCCACTTTCCCGAACCCATCGATTAGACTGCTATATATGATAACGTTCAGTTCGACTCCTTTCGACTTTGCTTCTTCAAAGAGCATATATGCTTCATCGAGCCGATCGATCTTTGCAAGCCCATCGATAACCGAACCATACGTAACAACGGTCGGTTCGTGACCCTTTGTCTTCATCTCCTCCAGCAGTTGGTAAGCTTTGTTTACCTTGCCCGACTTGCAGAACCCGTCGATAACGGTGTTATATGCACGAGTATCCAGAACACAACCTTGTTCCTTCATCGTGTAGAACAACTCGTAAGTTTCATGCGCGAAACCAGCTTTCACCAAGCCATGAATTAGGACTGAATAGCTCCTCGCATCGGGAATGAATCCTTGAGCCTTAATCTCCTGAAACAAAGCTCTACCCTTCTTGGTTTCTCCAGCTTTAAAAACACAGTCCATGTAGGTATTAAGAAGCATCAGGTCGGGAGAACATCCGAGACGTATCATTTCGTTATATATCTTGTGGCCGTCCTCCTTCCTTCCACACCTGAAAAAGTTCCTTATTAGAGATGTAAACACAACAGCATTCGGGATCTGGTCGGAATCCAGCATCTTTTCGTACAGCTTGTAGGCCTCATCAACTCTCCCATGCTTACCCAATCCATCTATAAGAGAACAATACGTTACCGTATTAGGCGTGCAAGCTTTATGATCCAATCCTTCGAAAATCGAACAAGCATCATCGAGTCTTTGGGCTTTACACAATCTGTCAACCATTATGTTTACGGTCATAACGTTAGGGAACAACCCAGCTTCTTTCATGGCATCCCGAATAACCAAAGCTGTCTCGAGTTTTCCGGACTTACAGAGCATATCAATCACAATATTATACGTCGAAAGATTCGGAATGGCATCTTTCTTCATCTCTTCAAAAACTTTTAACGCCTCGGCTACCCGCCCCTTCCTCCCCAGACAAGTAAGAATGCAATTATATGCGACGACGCTCGGAATGCATCCCTTTCTCCTCTGTCTCTCGAGTAGACTGTACGCTTCATCGAACTTCCCAGCCATACCATAACCCATGATCATTGTATTGTATGCATAAGCACAAGGCACTTGCTTGTTTTGATCCATATGTTCAAATAGCTCAATAGCTTCATCCAGCCTATCAGCTTTACAAAGAACTCCTATCATGCTAGTATAAGTTACATCATCAAGGATCAAACCATTAGCTTTCATTTCATGAAAGAATTTCCATGCCATATCCACCTTCCCCGCCTTCCCGAAGCAGTCTATACAGACGTTGTAAAGAACGACATCCGGTTCAAAAGCGTTCATTTTCATCTCATCCAAAAGAGAAAGTGCAGCATCGACTCGACCCTCACGAGCAAACACACGAATGAGAGTCGTGAACAAATGAACATTAACTTCATAGCCAAGCTCCTGCATTTGATGAAATAAGGTGAGCATGGAATCGGAATCATTAGATGCAGATAGTGCACCGATCAATGTCGTGTATGCCGAAAAGGCTGGACGGAATTTGAACTTTCTCATAGTTTGCATAAACGTAAAAGCTTCCCTAAGCTTGTGTGACTTAATAAGGCTCAGTATAATTTCAATACATGTGTTGTTTGAGGGGCCAAAGCCTGCTATACTCATTTCTTCCAATATTTGTTCCAAGCAATTGAACTTTCGAGTTCTAGCCATAACCATTAGAAGCGAATTATATGCTTCGGGGCAAGATGCTTGGTCTGTTACTCTCTCCGCCCATCGAAAGTAATTTACTGCAACGTTTACATCCTTCAGTCTTCTTAAGACTCCAATTACCAATTCTGGATTCGGTTTAACGTCGAGCTCGGCTAAAGCATTCTCAACAGAAGGTCTCCAAGGACCAGCCTCCAAAATTTGGCATACACTATCTACAATTAGTCTCTTGTCCTCATTCTTTGCTGACGACACCAGATTACAACCATCCGAAACAGGGGCCCCATTTCCGTTTGTTCGAGAAGAATTCTCAATGCACGAGGACAAAAGTTTAACAGAAAAACTAAAAGGGTTTTTGAACTTCAAAGCAAGACAATAGATTTGTCCTGCACCTGAAATACACACAGTCTGTATTCAATAATATGAATGAAATAAAGTCCTTTCATGCAAAGAAATGAATTATAAAGAATAATTGACTACGAAATTTGACCCAAGAAACGTTCAATGCACGAATAGGAACCCACAAGGAACCTGCAACTGTACAAGTATATCCCTGATAGCTGAGAATAAAAAGAGAGAAGCGTTTCTACATTTTTCCAGTCAACGCGTTACGAGCTCAAGTATAATTGGCCTGCTCTTCTTCTAAAAAATTTGTCGGACGCTTGGACAAATCTACTTGCACCTTAACCAAGCTCACATGACTACTACGTGAACCTACAAATTTTGAAGTACTTGATAGAATATCAATATGTTTGTAACAGTTCAAGCCCACTGCTAGTAGATATTGTCCTCTTTGAGCTTTGCCTTTCGGGTTTCCTCTCAAGGTGTTAAAATGTGTCTGCTAGGGAGAGGTTTTCATACCTTTATAAGGAATTCTTTGTTCCCCTCTCCAACCGATGTGGGATCTCACAATCCACCCACCTTGGGGGCCAGCGTCCTCGCTGGCCCACTGCCTGATGTCTGGCTCTATACCATTTGTAATAGCTCAAGCCCACTTCTAGCAGCTATTGTCCTCTTTGGGCTTTCCCTTTTAGACTTCCCCTCAAGGTTTTAATACACCTACAGAGAGGTTTCCACACCTTTATAAGAAATGCTTCGTTCCCCTCTCCAACCAATATGGGATCTCACAATATTAGGAGGCACTCACTAATACATGAAAACCTAATCCGTGGGAGTTAAACAAAATTGTGGTCAAGTGTTGCTTATTCCTAAACTCTGCGACCA